ATGAACTATAAATTTCTAATCACAAAATCATAAATTACGTAATTAAGCATTAATTTGTTGAGAATTGAGAAATTGTGAATAGTGTTTAACAAATATTCAAAACGAATAATAATGTTACACCTTTCAGCGCAATTAAATACCAACCATACCATCAGATAAACAGATGAAACAGGTGAATAATACATGCAATCAATCTTACACCCACCAATTAAGAAAATCCGAATTTACAAATTTTATTCCAAATATTCCATCGGATCTCTGCAGGTGACTAGGCTTGGAAATCCTATTTTTAAATAATGTTTTTTGAATTCCAAGATTTTATACATGCAATAATAAATTTGTGACCAATACATAATCGAAAATTACTATAGTATCTGTTTCTATGTAATAATGTTGAAGTAATAACCACCTATCAGATACGAAATAAAAAATTCAAAAACCTTGACACTAATACTCTTTATTACCTATATTGTTTATTATTAATTTTTTATGTAAGAATACGTAAACTAACCGAATTTCGGATAGCATACATCATTAATTAATATTCGCATATATATATAAGGGGTGACCAAATTCATTTTTATCTTCGGTAAATTTTCTTTCCTTCCTTTCTCCCCTATCCTTTATCCTTTCCCTAAGGGTGTGAATCTTTGAGATCAATAAAATCCGAAGATCAACAAATCCATAATTCCCTTTAAAAACCTCCGCCCTTTAGGTGATCTGATACGCTCATTATTTCGACTTATCCCTCCCTATCCACACTCTACCATCATCAAAATTTAATCGGAAGGAAAACATTATAACAAAAGCCTAATAGAAATTACATAGCAATAATGAAAAATCAAATTCCCAAAACAAATACAACCGTTTTTAACATGTTTACAAATATAAAATGTCAAATTGCAATTAACGCGTATCGTGTCGACATATCAACCTCCTGTTTAGAACCATGGGAAAGTCTACTTTTTCATTTATTGGTCGCTCTAAGTCTTGCATTATTCATCTTTGCTGCTTTCGAGCCATACGTCAAAGGAAATGAAGGAAATGTACTAGCGGTAAATTTATTAGATCATAATCTAGTACATTATTAAAGGAATTATGATACATTCTCCTTTAAAAACATATTAATCAAGTGGAAATTATTCTTGTAAATAAATATATCTATTTTTGACCCTTTCATTAAAAACAATTATGATTAATTTTATTTAGAATGAGTGCAAATTAGGAATTCATTCATTCATTCATTTATCATAAATCTCTTTCGAATAGAATATTAGAACTTTATTATGTTTGGGTTAAAAAATATGAGGTATGGCGTATGGAATCAAGATACAGTATGTGTAAAATTTAAGCATGATAATACAGTATATTCAATATTAATAGATTTTAATGGCAAGATACAAATTTAGAAATAAAGTAAAATGAAACTTTAATTTTGTTTTAGGCAAAAAAAGCTTGTCCTTTGTACGTAGTAATTTATTTTTATCGCTATATAAACTTTGTGGTTCATA